CCCCAAAACCCCAAAACCCCAAAACCCCAAAACCCCAATTTAAATAATTTAGGTTGATGAATATATTTTGAATTCGTCTTTATTCTTCATAGTCATAGTCATCATCTTCATCTATGTCTTCGTCATCATCAAGGTCTTCATCCTCGTCTTCATCGAGGGCATCTGCTTCCTCTTGCTCCTTCTTAAGCCTCTCTTCAAGCTCTTTCTGTCTCATGAGCTCTTGGATTTCTTCAGAGCTAAGAGCAGGGGTGTCTTCTTGTCTCATTAGTTCAAGCTCTCTGGCTTCCTTCTCTTGCATCTCTTTGAGTTTTCTCTCTTCTTTCTGTCTGATTTTCTCAGCTTCTGTTCTTTCCTTGATCAACTGATCCTTGTAGCTATCAGGCCACTGCTGAGTAGTGTTAAAGGTTTGGACTTTCCGAGGTAACTTGCTGAAGGCAGCATATCTCTTGAGAAGGATCTCTTCGATGAATCTCTTCAGAGTAGATCTGACCTTTAGTTTTCCACTTGGTTCCTCAACCTTGCTTTTAAGCAACATACTAATTTCGATGAGGATTTCTTTGAACTCATACTGGATCATCTCACTTCCCTTAATATGCATGTAGTACCTATTTGTGAGCTTATGGATATTATATTCCTTATTATAATCATCAGGGTCGATCTTCTCCTGAATAATTGCCTGTAGGGTCTTTCTCGGGTTATAATACTTCTCAATAATCCTTATCAACTCGAGGAGGGAGATCTTATCGTCAGGACACTTGAACTCAGCTTCTGGTTGGTCTTCAGGGGCTTCTTCTCCTTCACCCTCGCCTTCTTCCTTCTTCTCCTCCTCATTACTTTTAGTAATTTTAGATTTATCAATTTGTTTTGATTTTGATGCATCTTTGTCAGCTTCATGGTCACCCTCTCCTTCTCCTTCAGCTTCAGGGCTGTCCTCCTTTGGCTCTTCAGGTTTGTCTTTTTGAGGAGGAGTCTCATTCCACAAGAGATCGATCCTCTTACAGAACTGAACAAGATCTTCGACTTCGATTGTCTTGTCAATGACACCAAATACTGCTTTGCCATCCTTCTTTGAGATTGAGTCGAATAAGAAATTAATCTCTGATCCTAGCATTTCAAAGATTTTCTCAGCAGCCTTATAGCTCTTCTCGTCTTCTGGAGTTTTAGACTTATTCTTTGTAGCAAATGGAGCACAATGATTCTTCATCATGTGGTCTAGCTTTTCTGCAAGAGTTTTGAAGTTGGTTGTATTAGCATATGATACATGACATGCTCTTACTATAGCTTCGAAGAATTGTCTCTGAAGGATAGCTTTAGTTGGCTCGTGAAGACTATCGGCATCTACTTCAGCAAATTCTTCAATCTCCTCCTCACTATCTGAATCAAGGATGTCTAGTTTGCTGCTCTCAATTTTGACGTTATCCTGCTTTTCGATAATGAAAGAGTCTCCTACGTTTTCTCCTATAGCATCTGGATTGCCTATATTCATATTTCCATCCCGAGAAGGATTGAAGTCTTTATTCTCTTCAATAACAGATCCTTCAACATTAGCAGTGTGCTTTTCTGTGGTCTTTTCAGTTGTAGGTCTCCATTCTCCTACTTTACTTGCTGCAAGGTGAAACTTCTTCTTATCCTTCTCTCCCAAAATTGTGAAGTGGTTCTTTCTACCTTGGTTAAATACTCTATCAATAATTGCTAGAGTGGAATCAGAAGAGGTAATTTGAGTATCTCTGAAGAATCTCCAAACTTGTCTCAGAGTAAGAGCAAAGCTTTCTTCGCTCTTTACTGCCTCTACTTTCTTAGAGTAGATTTTGTACCATCTCTTAATATCACTATTATACCTCAAGAGGATATTCTGGATTTCTTTTTCAACTTCAGCTGAGTTCCTTTCTAACTCCACAAGATCTGTAATGTCAATAAGAATTTTGAATGGATTTGCTTCAACTTCCTTCTTGACTCTGTTTGAAGCAACTACCTTATCATTTTGACCCTTGGGTTTTATCGATCTGTTCTTTGTCATTTCAGTACTTCCTTCACCAGATCCTATCTGAGCCACTCCTTGAAGGCTTCTTTCAACCATTCTATCGTTCTTAAACGGTCCATTATAGGTGGTTCCATCTTCAAAGGTGAAAATACCAGCTCCATCTTTCAGGTTATCCTTCCATTCCCCTTCATACTTGGATCCGTTTGAATAATAGAAGGTTCCTTGGCCATGTCTTAGTCCTTTCTTCCAGTACCCAACATACCTATTCCTCAAGAGTTTGTTCTCTCCACTGCCTTCGAGCCAGATGTGAGTTCCAAATCCACTCTGGTAACCGTCTTCCCAGTGTCCAGTATATTTCTCATTAGTGGTCTTCCAGTGCATGACTCCTTCTCCATTCCTTTTATTATTCTTCCATTCTCCTTCATAGAAGTTGCCACTGGCGTAGGTCATCTTTCCTTTGCCTGATTTCTGACCCATTTCCCAGTTTCCGTCATAAATACTGCCATTTTTGTACTTGAGGATGCCTTCTCCGTGTCTAAGTCCGTTTTGCCACTCGCCATTGTATTCAACTCCTTCATTTTTGTTAAGATACTTGCCTTCTCCATGCCTCATTCCGTTCTTTACATAGCCAAAGTAAGTGCTTTTGTCAGTCCAGTCGTACTTACCTTTGCCTGTAATCTCGTTGTTCTGAAATTGACCGTAATACTTAGTTCCGTCTTTCCAAATGAACTCCCCTTCGCCATGAAGGAGGCCGTATTTCATCTCACCGTTGTAGATGTGCCCTTCTTTGAACTCGCAGCGGCCTCTGCCATGATAGACTTTAGCGATCTGGGCCCCCTTCTCATAGTCAATGATGTCTCCAGTCCATTTCTTAATAACCAGCTGTGAGAGCTGAATTGGCAGGTAAGTAACCTGCGGCAAGGTCTCCAGTTCAGTTGTCATTTTATTTTTATAATTCAAATTTTGTTAAATAAAGTGGGGTTTTGGGGTTTTGGGGTTTTGGGGTTTTGGGG